CTCAGCCTCCTGAGTAGCTGGGATTACAGGCACGCGCCACCATGCCCAGCTAATTTTTTTTTGTAGTTTTAGTAGAGACGGGGTTTCACCATGTTGACCAGGACGGTCTCGATCTCTTGACCTCGTGATCCACCCGCCTCGGCCTCCCAAAGTGCTGGGATTACAGGCTTGAGCCACCGCGCCCGGCCAAGACGGTGTTCTTAAAAACCAGAGCAAGCAGGCTGGCCCTTAGCACGGAGTCATCCTTGCTGTGTCATGGTATCCAGAAGCAATAGAACTCCTGTTTTATCCTAGGGCTTACTAGAAATGTCTTGTTAAATTTTGTAGCTTATTAGTGCCAGTATTTCTGAATTTATAAGATGAGTAAAATTTTTTTCTTTTTTTTTGAGACAGAGTTTCGCTCTTGTTGCCCAGTCTGGAGTGCAAATGGTGTAATCTAGGCTCACTGCAACCTCTGCCTCTGCTTCCCAGGTTCAAGAGATTCTTCTGCCTCAGCCTCCCAAGTGGCTGGGATTACAGTCATGTGCCATCATGGCCGGCTAATTTGTATTTTCAGTAGAAACGGGGTTTCTCCATGTTGGTCAGGCTGGTCTGGAACTCCACACCTCAGGTAATCAACCTGCCTTGGCCTCCCAAAGTGCTGGGATTACAGGTGTGAGCCATCGTGCCTGGTCAAGATCAGTAAAATTTCTTTTTTTTTTTTTTTTTTTTTTTTTTGAGACAGAGTCTCGCTCTGTCGCCCAGGCTGGAGAAGTGGCATGATCCTGGTTCACTGAAACCTTCACCTCCTGGGTTCAAGTGATTCTCCTGCCTTAGCCTCCTGAGTAGCTGGGACTACAAGCATGTGCCACCACACCTGGCTAATTTTTTGTAGTTTTAGTAGAGATGGGGTTTCACCGTGTTAGCCAGGATGGTTTCGATTTCCTGACCTCATTATTTGCCTGCCCTGGCCTCCCAAAGTGCTGGGATTACAGGTGTGAGCCACTGTGCCCAGCCCAGGATCAGTAAAATTTCTAACAATAAATGCAATTTACAAACCTCCATAGAATCATTAACTTTTGCCAAAACACCAAAAGTAGCAACTACCATCTACTATAACCACAATTTCATTTAAAAATTTAAAGTTGATCATGATTCTCAGAATTATATTGTTCTGAGTAAGTATGACTGTAGGAAAAACTCACTACATTAGCCTTATTTTTGTCATTTTGCTAAAAGACTCATAAAAACTGCAGAAGAGCCGGGCGCGGTGGCTCACGCTTGTAATCCCAGCACTTTGGGAGGCCGAGGCGGGTGGATCATGAGGTCAAGAGATCGAGACCATCCTGGTCAACATGGTGAAACCCCGT